CTGGGGATGAGTCTCTTTAACCAAGTAGCAAGCAATAGGACAAGAGGGAATGGCCTCAAGTTGTGCCAGGGAAGGTTTAGACTGGATATTAGGAAACATTTCTTTCCAGAAGGGGTTGTTGGGCGTTGGAATGGGCTGCCCAGGGAGGTGGTGGAGTCCCCATCCCTGGAGGTGTTTAAGAGTCGGGTTGACATAGCGCTGAGGGATATGGTGTATTTGGGAACTGTCAGTGTGAGGTTAAGGGTTGGATTAGATGAGTTTCAACATCTTTTCCAACCTAGATGATTCTGCGATTCTGTAATTAGTGTGTGGGGAGAATATTGGTCATGTGGGGTATCTTTTTAGTGCAAAATGTTTATATAAAAAGAGTTTAAGAATGAAAATGTGGTTAAGATACTTTTGCTAACCTGCATATTGCTGCCATCTTCGGCAACTGTCTTAGTTTGTGATTGCAGCTAGAAGGTTTTCAGGCACAAATATTCACTGCAGTGATCACATGCTGCCAGGGCAGAGGAAATAATAGTTTCACTTTATGTGTTCAGAATATGTGATCATGCAAAAATATGCAATCTACAATTTAATCAAAAAGAAACAGTGAAAAATTAGATATTCTGAAGTAACGAGAGGGATTTTACAAACCAACATCTGAGCTGGGGTGACATTTCACCCTCTCAGCATCCCAGTCCCAGAGCAGTGTGTAGTGAGGCCAGGGCTAAGATACAGCACAGCTGTTGAAGCCACTGCTGAGGTTTCCTAATTTCTGGAAAATGGCTACTAGAAGATTCAACTATGCTTTTAAAACTATATGCCAAGCCTGGGTTCCCAATAAGGTAGCAGGAACTAAGTATTACATTTCTCTAGCTGACTTTGAAAAAATGACAGACACCTGATTCTCAAAGAATTGGAGCAACGTTACTGCTAAATCATGGATTTTATATGATGCTGCTTAAGAAAGCGTTAATCTTTAGAGTATCAGTGACTGGTACCTGACGTTTTTCTGTCATGTGAATCATTTTGGTTATAGAATAGGATTTTTCTGCTAACAGAAAAGTGTATCACTTAACAAGAGTTCAAGAGCCTTGTTCTCCTTCTCGTGACCCTAAAGCATCCTCTTGGATGTCAGTAGGAGGTATTCAGCGCAGTGGGTGTTCTCATTACCACTTGACATCTTGCTGTTTGCTTTTCTTCCTGTTGATATTTAATGATTTGAATTCTTTCTTTGCCAGTCCCAGAAGCCATTTAGCAAGTGACGTACTATTTAGTGCTACTTAACAATATCGAGATAGTCACTAGGAAAAGACTTTAATTTCCAAACAGTTCTACAGCATTCCCCCCCGCCATCTGCTCCTGCCATGTCCCTCGCTGTTGCATTTCCCAGTTAACCCTTTGCTCTGGCCTCTTTGCCCAGTGCTCCTGGGGAGGGTGGCACAGGATCTGCACAGCTTCGCCTGAACTCTAAAAACCCTCTGAGGCTAAAACAGACTGTAGGTCACTATAATGGCAGTGACATGGGTGAAGTTTTTGGCTGATGTAAATTGGCATATATTTGCTTTGTAGAGTCACAGACAAATAGAGCAAGCACAGAATGCACTGCAGGCTTTCTATCCTCAGCCTACTGTTTATCACAGGCACTTCACAAGTCCCATTAATGTTGGGTCTGGATGTCTCACAGCCTTTAATGTATAATAATAAATAAGACTGCAGAGGGAAGGGAAGATACTGTACCTTTTGGGAGAACAAAGACATCAAGACTGAGGATGAGACTTATCTCACTGAAGTTAATCTACGAAAAAGATAGATTGCGAGTTGATATTAATCATCTATACTTCCCTCTCTCCAGTGGAGAGACAGGCATATCTCCCAGGGACGATTTATGTGGCCCTAATCACTGGGCAACCCTGACTGTTAAGTGGCAGTTAAGAGGCCGAAATGAGAAGGATGCTCAGCTTTAGATGAGCTCAGGGGGAGACTGGACAAGTTCATGGTAGCAAAATTCTTTGGGCATTATTAAACCCATAGCAATAGCATCTGGCTTGCTGAAAACAGTTGGAGGCTGTGAGTTGTTAAGAGGTAGTATCTGACATGCTTGTCCTCTTGTGCTCTTACTCTATCTTAAGCATCTATTTATGGCCACTGCTGGAGCTAACACACAAGGGAGATGGACTTTCTGTCTGATAACATATGGCCATTCCTGGGCTCTTATGTGAAGCCATTTTAGCAGTGAGAAGCAGGGGAATACACATTTAGTAAGAGATGATTTCTGCAAACAGAAAAATTGCAGTAGGATTTATTTCCAGATCTGTGGTGAAGTGCTACTGACCTACAAAGAGAAAAACTGGAAGTCAGTTTTACAGAAAGAGCCTGTGCCAGGTGCTGAATGTCAGTGCTTTGTATCAGGTCACTGCAGGCCTTTCAGAGGTTCAGATGAGCTGTTTTACCACGTGTTCCCCTCAGATGGTGCAAACAGCTTGTTTAAGCTTTAGACAGTTACAAGGAGATTCAGATCTGACATCATCTGCAGTGTGGTGTGTAGCTGTGCTGCTACAATGAATACTCCCTGCCTCTGTGACAGCACCAGGTGGATTAATGGGGTGGCAGCTTGTCATGTCAAATAACTTACTGAGGGCACAGAATGTTTGGCCCAAAACCCAGGTATCACTCACTAGAACAGGGCTCATAACCTCCCACTGTCTTGGGCACATGCATATATATGTACCTTTATTTTGGATGATTGTTCCAGCTGAAAGATTTGCAGAATCAGTGATCCTAAATGCTGATACCCTTAAAATGGTTTGCTAAGGAGGCAATCACCTCAGATTAAACATTTTGCTGTCAGTATGGTAAATGTATGCCTGTCATTTGCTGCAAAGATCTTTAATTGGTGTCTCCATAGCTGTTAAATGGCAGCATCCCTACATAAGTACACTTAGTTTGAACTCAGAATTGCCTTTTGTGGCACTCTACATAAAAAGAAATCCTGATTTAACCAAGCAATGTTTTCCTTATCAAATCCCAAGACATAAAAAAGGCTGGTGTGGAACTGGATTCAAAACATCAAGCTGGGCTGCTTGTGAAATGGAAGCTTTTGCTCTCTTTAAGGCACCCTGTGTTGAAACTGGCAGCAAAACTGTTTGATGCAGGGACAATGTATCAAACTTGACTTTTGCAATTTCCTGTTTGGTTTCTTGCAAACTGATTTTGTCTACTCATATTTAATCGCAAAGATAATTTTATTTAATGTGTATTAGGTAGTATGATATACTTGTTGTGGTCTTTCATCATTCTTCGTTTTGCGTTGAATGTGACACGATATTTTCTAGTACAGATGAAATTTGTTCAGCAGTCAGCTTTGAAAGAGCATCTGTCTTTTATAGCTCTGTAAAATGTTATGGACTGCAAGCTAAAAAAATTTCTTTATTCTCAAGTTTCTCAAATTCTTTGCTCTAATTTTTAGATTACAGCCACCACTGTGGCAGGGAGGGGTGGCTTATCCTCAAATTCTGTCCTGTTTAGCAGCCTCCATAGCACAGCTGCACACAGTCAGGCAGGTGTAGTTTGATACCGAAGGGAGATGTTACTGGGAGAGTCAAAATGGGATGTGGGAGTTGAAGGAGAGGGTGTTAAAAGAGATTGATTTTTTAGCCCACTGAGTACTGCACGGGGTAATTTAGGGCTGATGGTATAGCAGCCTTCTGTGATGTGGCTGAATGAAAAGAAGGATGGTTACTCTTATTCATAGGCCATGGTGACTTCAACAGTACTGTTGACATTATAACAGTACTACTACTAGTATAACAGCAGGAAGAACTTTTATCGTATTACAGAACCAGAGGGTTTCAGCTGTAGAAGAAATCCCTGTTGAGAAAGGTGAAGAATAATAATACCAAGAGCACTTACAAGTAGCATGTAAAAAGAGGAGATTGTAATTGTGTCTAAAAGTTGGAAGGTGACAGCAGCAGCCTGGAAAGCATTGTGGGGAAGGAAAAGTTGGTTAGTGTTGCAGTACAGGTGTTTCTTTAAGGAGAACATTCCTGGACTTTTTTCAGCTTTTCTTGAAGCACTGGAGTTCTGCCAGATCTGAAGGCAGAGTGTAGGCAGCATGCACTGATGTCTAAGTTCTACTCATTGCTCAATATCAGACCAGTCATAACACAATGATGGAATTTCTCCTTTCTGGTCAGGCTGGCAGAGATTTGGACATAGAGCTCTAGGCTGGTTTCCAGTAAAGCCATGGGTTTAGTCTACCTACCTACTGTAGTCCTCTGGGACTGTTACTGAGTGATTATCTGATGGTACGTGAGTGCTTTGTGGATAGCTGTATCTCTTCTTTCTAAATGCATATAAGTACTTAGATTGACTTGGAGTCTGCTTGTTAGATCTTATGTATATTCCATGTAATAAACGTAGGTATTTCTCAATAATATTGATTCTAACAGAAATGGAAGTGATACTGTAAAGTGTGTGCCTGTGGTATTCCTAACAGGTTAGCACCATGTACCTGAAATCTGAGCAGTTTTGTGGGTTTGCTAGTGGTTAGCCTGTCGAAGGATAAAGCCGGAGTATCAAGAATAACACCAATATGGTTTGCAAGTTTGATCCAATTTTATTAAATGCAGAGCATCTTATATACTGTTAGGGAGCGATCACATGAAGTGAAACAAACTGTGATTGGTTCTAAGCTACTGTCCACACGGTGTGATTCATATTTCATTGGTACAACGTAAGAAGCACATGCGAAAGGCATGAGCCATGGACCTCCTACTTGAGGTTTCAACTTCACACCTTATCTCTAGTTAAAGAATTTGCTGAACAATCTCTCTCTCTGCAGTGGCAAGCCAGAGAGGAACACTGAACAATAATTCTTTATACAGAGGCAAACAAGAGAGAATTATTCATTTCAGTATCAAGAACCATATGACCGTTATCTTCCAAAAATGTCTCCACCTTAGTCTTTTGTAATGACTTTGAGACAAGCAAATACAGGTATTTGCCTTCAATCTAATTTTGCCATACCTTTCTTCACAGCTTCCTGTTATGGGAGGAGCCTTTATGGACTCACCCAATGAGGACTTTAGTACAGAGTACTCCTTGTTTAACTCATCAGCCAACGTCCATGCAGCTTCTTCCACGCAGAATCCACCAGAGGAGACATCCCGTTCTTCAAATGATGCCATATTGCTATGGATTGCAATAATAGCAACAATTGGAAATATTGTGGTTGTGGGAGTGGTGTATGCCTTCACTTTCTAGGATGACTGTCACTCCAAACACTGGAAGAGACGATAACTGCGACAGTATTTGTTATGTGTATGTATGTATTTGTGTGTATATACATGTATATCTATATAAATACATTTACGTAGGGACTTTGTTGATTAAGTGCTGCCACAATTGTGGAAATTAAATGCAAGTCAATCATCTTGAATCTTGAATCAGAAAGTTTGGATGTAATTGAAAATTTTATGAAGGTGAGAGCTCTAAGTGAGAAAAGAGCCAATACCAGTTTTGTATAGAAATGTAATAAAAGAGAGACCAACATGGGTATAGTAAATACAAGGAGAAAGTGAGATTTATATAGAAAGTGCTTATTTTCTACTGGTTAGATTTTTCTAGCAGCTCTTCTGCATTTTGTCAGCTTTTTTGTGCGTTTTTTACTGTGCTATAATGTTGTATGAAATTGTTCTGTAATGTTTGCTGGACATCTTAGTTTTCCAGATGGACTAAATGGCCAGCATTGGCTCAGTTTTGATGAAGAACAAATTCATCATGTGTGAGTCTTCAGCACGTGCATACACTGCTGGGCTGTGTTCAACATCATGAGTCTTAAAGCCAAGACAGGCAGATCCATCCTATCTAACACTTGCCTTCCAGTATCAATTACTGGATCTGATAGTCTATGAATTGATGCTAAACCTATCTGCTGTTTGCAGGCGGAGGCACAGCTATTGCAAGGCGTGGCTGGTCTGCACACCCTCTGCACTCCAGAGGAGGACATGTTAAACAGAGCAGCAGCAAAAGCTCCCATTTCTGTCCAGAGGTACAGGATTGCAGTGGTTTGTAGGTGTGTCCATTCCAGGAAACAAAGGCCAAATTCCATGCTTTTCAGCTCATTTCACTGTAATCCAGACTTACCACAGTGGTCATGTACTTTCGTAAGTTTATGGGTGTATCAAAAGAATGTGGGGAAATTATGAAGGCCAATTAACAGCAAATGATGTCTATGAGGAAAATAGCATTCAAATATTGGACACTTCTGTGCTCATGAGAGAGTGCAAGAGTCAGGTATGGCCTGGGGTAGAAGCAGCACAAAAAAGGTAGTAAATGACAGATAAACAAGTGCTTATATTTCAGTATTAATATGTCTCTCTGTTCTGATGAGGCTCCTGGAAGTGATTTTCATATAGCTTGCTTTAGGTAACAACTCTGATGATCATTTAGATTTGTTCTGTTGAGGGACAACATTTTCACTTCATTGTTCCCATGAGCAGTTCCTTTTCAAGAGCTGTATTTTTTCAAAATAAACTGTAGCCTTCCTTGTTTCAGAGATTATAAAATCTTGAGGGAAAAAAAAAAAACCTCTCTTGGAAATCTCCCTCTTCCCCCTTAAAAAATAAACACAAAGACATAAAATGTCTGCACTTTGAGAGCAGCAGACAAATTCTTCCTCTCTCTGCATGTACTGTATAGGTTTTCTGTCTCATGCAGCTACTACCCTAATTCCAGAAAGACTTCTCTGCAGGAACAAAGACTGTTTTTGATGCTTGCCTGCCACTGAGCTTGAGGCTGGACTAAGAGCTGCCGAATGTACAGAGAGGTTAGGATTATCTTTTCTCTTCAAAAACATTGTCCTGCAGGGCTGGTGGACAGTTACTTGAATCAAAGCAGCATACCCCAAATCAGTATTTATAACCACTCAGTAGTCACTGAATATATTTTTTTTCCCTCTCTATGAACTGGCATTTAAAGTTGGGAAGGGTGCAAACAGCTAGCAGGGGAGAGAAAAAAAACTAAGTTAATTTGAGGATGAGAAAAACAATGACAACTCACTTGAGGAACTGAGCTTCTGTGTGTGTAGTTATTTCCCTGTTTGGAAGAAGAATTTTGTGAAGATGGTTGAGGACAGACAAGATCTGTGCTGGGAAAAAAGTTTGAGAAGCACAGTTCTGGAAGATCAGCAGGAGAGAAAGCAAATTCTATGTAATAAAATAGCTGTAGTCTTAAGAATGGTAGAAAAATGATGATTTTCACTGTCCTAAGATAGCTATTTGTTCCTTCATAGGCAGAGGATAATAAAAAGCAGGGGAGCTGCATAAATTGTGTACTTCTCCTGTTCTTATACTCCTCCTTATTCTCACTGAGCAGAAAGCAAACTGTTGAGTGAGGTTGGAAGGCTGCAGAGAAGTTTCCAGTGCAGAATTAAGCAGGATAAGATGTGGTGTAAAAACATGTATAATAGGATCCATGTAAATGTTGCTTAATGTAATGTACTGTCCCCAACCATTTCCTGATACTCTGTTGACTTTGTAATTGTATCAATTACTCATGGACTTTTCTTTAGTGTTTCTGTAGGCTTAGTTAGGCCAGATCTTGCAAGCACTGTTTTTGTGTGAAATGCAAAACATTTCCACCATGATTACAACCAGTTTGACACTATAGTACTCACCCATTACTGCTTAATGAATTTGCCAGTGCAGTACTTTGTTTAAATTTCCTAGAATATTAGTCTTAGTTCAGTTAGCAATGTTTGCATCTCTCTACCAAAGCACTGGACTAAATTCACCACCCATGAAGAGCATTAGAGCAGGAACAGCAAAGAACCACCACTCTGCTAATGAAACCGAGTGACACTTTTATGTTGCTTTTCCCAAAGAAATTGCCCTACTTTCATGTGAAACTGATAGTAATAGCAGGAGCGTTGGAAAACAACGAGTTCTGCCTCTCTTGTCCAGATCATTCTCATACATATTTTCATCATTACAGGCTGAGTTGTGAAGAAGGACCAGACAGTACTTTAATTAAAGTAATTGGCTTGATGTGGGTGGCATGGCAAACTGGGTGCAGGCAGCGAGTGCAGGCATTTCCTGTCTCGCAGTTAAACTGCACACTAACTGTGCAGCTTTTCTGTTGAGAAAAAGTAGCTTTAGGATGCAGATGCAAGAATACTCATGCAACAGTCTGTGCAGAATATTGTCAGGTGTTTAAAGATCCCTAAATCACAGTGAGCAGAGCTGGTTCAAACTCTGATGGTAACATGCACAGTATATTTCCGGGTGTTGTGTTCTGGCTTCATCCACTACAACAACTTCCATCTTCTGGGAGGTTAGAGAAGGTTTAAATTCACCATTGTTAAGTTCAGAGAAGTCATAGAGGGAGTGAAGAAGTGGATAAATGGTTTCATAGGTATGGTCCTGTGAATCATAGAATGGTTTGAGTTGGAAGGGACCTTAAAGATTATCTCGTTCCAACCCGCCTGCCCATGGGCAGGGATACCTTCCACTAGACCCGGTTGCTCAAAGCCCCGTCCAGCCTGGCCTGGAACACTGCCAGGGAGGGGGCAGCCACAGCTTCTATGGGCAACCTGTTCCACTGTCTCACCACCCTCACAGGAAAGAATTTCTTCTTTCTCTCTAGTCTAAATCTTCCCTCTTTCAGTTTCAAACTGTTATCCCTCATCCTATCACTACACTCCCTGATCAAGTGTCCCTCCCCAGCTTTCCCGTAGCCCTGTTTATGTACTGGAGGGCTGCTATAAGGTCTCTCCAGATCCTTCTCTTCTCCACTCTGAACAACTCCAATTCTCTCAGCCTGTCCTCATAAAGGAGGTAATTCAGGCTCCTGATGTCTTTGTGGCCCTCCTCTGCTCAAGCAGGTCAATGTCCTTCTTATACTGGGGGCCCCAGAGCTGGACACAGCACTCCGGGTGGGTCTCACAAAAGCAGAGTTGAAGGGGAGAATTCCCTCCCTTGACCTGCTGGCCACACTTCTCTTGACGCAGCCCAGGACACGTTTGGAACCTGGAAATGCGTTACCACTTCTTGAAGGGGGTGTATGTTATACCCTGAACTGTCAACACAGTTTGACTTGGAGCACTGTAGCTTCTCCTTTCCTTAGAGCTGGGCAGTTGGATAATGGTTTGTTGCTCACTGAGGGGTGACAGGGAAGTCCAAACACATTCCCCAGAGCTGTTCTCTGAAGGTCTTCTCTAAAAGCAGAAGAGGGCTCTGCTTTGCTGAGCACTTTATGCATCAGCATGAGAGCAGGATTCCCCTTATAGAAGATTGTGCTTTAAATAAAAGCATCTAGCACAGGTAAGTTACAAAGTCCTGATTGGTTTGCTCTGTAGTAGACAAACCAAAACACCCTATATACAGTGTTAGACCCCTAGCTATGTTGTAAACATCATTGTGCAAACACAAGATGCAATACTGTGTGCTCTATGAAATATTATTTGGATGATGGCTTATTAAATAATGAGCCATGGAAAGCAGGTAGCCAAACTGAATGTTCTAAAGTGTCTCTTCTAGCCATGGCCTTTAGGGATCAATAGCAACATGTCAAATAATGGAACTGTCTCTTAAGATACTAATTTTTTGCTCTAGGCAGCCAGCAGCTCAACACATCAGCTGTGTAGCCATCACAGCAAAGAGACTAAAGGGTGAACAGTTGTGAAGATGGGTGCAAAGGCTCATTAGATTGGAAAATGCGGTAGGGAAACCCACACAGCTACTCCTGTTATATTTTTATCTGCAGGGCTAGGAGTCTGTGCTTGTCTACAGCATTAGCATCCTCCTAAAATAAAATGAGGGAGGAGGATGTATTTCTGTATGAACAAACTTGCAAAACTGAACAACAGATTTTTAAACTGATGCAACAGTAGCAGACTCATTTGCTACAAATAAGGTATTTAGCCATTTGAGTGAGCAAGTGAGCTGATAGATACCTCAGAAGTAATGAGATCCCCTCTCCAGAATCCTTGTTTGCAATGGGACTTGAGGGCCATCAGCATCCCACCGAACTGCTGAGCAGCCTGTAATAACAAGTCCCAAATCAAGAGTGAATAGAAGCAGCCAGCTATTATAGTCTTATCCTGTACATCCATTTGAAGATAAAGGGAAAGTGTGCATTTGTGTCTGGGATCAAATGAAAACAGAAGTCCTTAGTCTGTAGGTTGTTACATATTTTGTCTATCATTGGAAGCTTTTGTTTTGCTATTATCAAACAATTCCAGTTGTTAATATCCTCCTTCATGTTCTCTGCAGGCTCCTGAGAGTTATTAATTTTTCATAGCTTTGTCCATTTATCCATGTAATTTTACTGGGTTTCCTGTGTCTAATCACAGTGCAGAATCTGAAAAACTATTAATTTTAAGGATGACTTCCATAATTGAGAGAAATAGGCCAAAAATCAAAATCCCAGATCAAAATGCTTCTGTGCTTTTGGAGCATTTGGAGCTCTGGAGAATTGGATTTCATCTGGTTAATGTGTGGGAAAAAAAAAAGGGCAGTCAGGTCCCTGGTGATAATGTCAGACATCAGGGTTCTGACAGGCAGAGCTGAGCGCTTCATTAACTCCTGCTCTGCCCCTCTGAACCCTGCTGGCTTCGTGGACACACAGCCTGAGCTGAGTTTAAGTGAACTAGTCCTCAGGTACAGCAGGTCCCTCCTCATTTTACATCTTGCTAATCCTCAGTGAAACAAGTGCATTTATTCCATTCACAGGAAAGCCAGAGATCAATATTCTGCTACGTATACTGTCATCGATATATTGGTCCACCACCCATAAGGTAAAGATAGAGATGCTTTAACAGTTAGTTAGTCCTTTGCCGCAATCTTGGAACATTCTAAAGAAATCAAAACACCCTGAGGCTTTGAAGTCTCCTACTGGCCTTGATCTGACACTAACTCTTTGTGTTTTCTCGTACAACCCCTCTTTGCCTTTTATCTTGTGTTTCCAACTCAGAACAGTGAAAATTAAGCCATCGCTATGCTGTTCTCTGGATGTGTAGGGAGCTCTTAACAGCTAGGGACCAGCCATGTCCCATTTTAGTTTTTAGTCCTTCAGGCATGAAGAAGGAAGAAAGTGTCTAATTGTCTACCCAGAAGACTCCAGGGGAATACACACCTTTGCAGAACAAAATGCATAGCAATTTTATCTCATTCCAGCCTATACCAGAGTATTTACAGTGAGTTAACATGACCAAACCTGATTTTTCAGTAACCTGTTTTGGGAATTACAGCAACACAGTCAGGAACTGAAGAAGATACAACCTTGATAACACAAATTTGTCACATATCTAATCATCTCAGTGACATGCCTCTGAAGGCAGGTTTGCCTGAGTGTCATAGTCAGACTTAATCTGTCAGTACAGAGGCAAAAGCCCTTTCATATGAGCACAAATAGTGTCTCCATCTTTTTGGGAAGTCTTTTTGAGAGCATTAATGCCACCCATTCTATCTTTCCTGTGCAGACTGCTGGTGAAAATATTTTTCAGTAGTAGAAAATACTTGAAAAGCTTCCTGTGTTGGTAGAATACATGCAAGATTTACTTTCCAAAGCTCTGCTTAGTTTCCCTGCAAAAGCAAAAACCACCTAGGTTTCTTAAGGATGGAATGTTAATGAGTCAAGTATCATCTGTACAGTAGCATCACCTCATTTTAATCTACAGCTTTATGCCAGTATGTCTCAAAGGGGATCTTACTATTACACAGACTTTAAAAAGACTGAGAACAGAAACAGGTCACTTCTCAAGAATGTCTCAAAAGTCACTACCTGATCTTTAGGCTGCATCATTCCTCAGTCCTCCCCAAAGTACCCTGATGTGGACTTGCACCCAAGCCTTTAAACCCCTTGTCACCACCACATGTCTCTCTGCCTTCATTTGAGTTCTTCCCTTGTCTTCTCTCTATTCTTTCAAAATTCCCTGGTATCAGAATATGCAAGCATGTGGAAGCCAGAAATGTTCCTCAGCCCTTCTTAACCACCTTATTGACCTTCACTGCCAGTAAGGCCAGTGATATGTAAGGACTTACCACAGTGAGTTCAAGGATCAGTGACACAAGGTCTCTTCCTGTAGGGAGATGTTAATCAAGCAGAAGAGTAAGGTGCGGACATGAAGCTTGGTAACTGTATTGTTATCCATGCAACCTTTTAGAAATTCAGATTTATAAATATACTGCACTGTTCTGCAGTCAGCATTTGCTGAGCTTTCCTCAGCCCACAGTCCCTTGTTATTCTTAGCAAATCAGAACCAGTGGTAATGCACTTGGGGTAGGGTAAGGGGAGTGGAAGTCCCATACACAGGAGACTTGAAAAGCTCTATGTAAGTTATTGTAGGGTCAAGGCCATTAACCCCTAGCCTAATTTAGTGAAGAAAAACAACCACAGTGTGCTATGCCTTAGGTATTTCAAATCTAGTCACACCTGCAGTTCTCAGATGCACAGCCAAGCTGCTGTAGCCAGATTGCGTATTTCTAAATCTTGTGACCAAAAAGAGGTGTATTCCTTGGCCTCCACCGAGACTGCTGAACAGCCTCCCCCACAAGTCCCTGTTTGTTCTGGTATTGTTTTGGGAGCTTCCTGAGCAGCAGTCATTAAGGTGACTCCACGTTTCCTGTGCAGTTCAGTCCCACTAATGAGGGAATAAGATTAAGCTGTTTACAAATCTTGGTTTAAAACTGTTTTCAGTTACTGCCTTCGTAAGGATCCTCAGCCTGCAAGCTGCTCTATCCAGAGGGACCTTTGCCTCCACCTGGAGTCAACTGGATTAATAACACTTCTTCTACACTGACATCTGCTTCAGTAGATCAACTTGCAAAACTAGCTCTGGGTTGCTGGGGTTTTATTTTAAATATATGTAAAGATGTCCATAATTTCCTAATCGAAAGAAAGAAAGCAGATTGCTGTATTTTTTTAAATGAGAAGGTAATAAAAACAAGTCTGAATATTTTGATAGATATCCTGGAAGAGTATATAATGTAGCAAACAGTTGCACTATTTTTTCTATTGTCTGAGCACCTAACTTGAGAAATATTTGTTCTTTCTCTAAGATCTCTTTCAGTTCTGAAGTTATGAACTTTGGAAGAAGTAGAATGCAAGGCCTCAGTAAAATTTTAAACTAATGTAAATAAATCCAGTAGCTAGCTTTGTGAGGTAGCCTATAACATTTGTTTTTCAGCTGTCTCATCTCAAATATTGCTAATTATTGGGGTTTTTTTCCAAAATAAGATAAATAGTGACTCTTCTGAAAGCATCTGTACTTCACACAAAATCACAGTTATAAGGAAATGACATCCTTCAGCTCGTGTAAAACAACTTTACAGGAGCCCTTTAGTATGCACTGTTATTTT